TCCACCGTGTAGTGCGTGTGGTTCAGAACACTGTCCTAGATGTGCCGCCCAGGTGGCTGCTGGGAGCCAGCATACTGCATGGCAGGGCCTCTACGGGGCATCAGGCCACAGGCCCCCTGTGTCCTCACCCCTTTGCATCTGGTACTCTGAGCAGCAGCTACCCGTGCCCACACCTCCGGGCTGTGAGAGCCAGAGCTCACTTGGAGGTCCCACATTCCTCAGCAGCTGAAAGGTAGCCCTGGTGAGGGAAGATGGAGTTGTTCGCGCGTGTGCACACACACACACACACCACAGAGGAGAAGGCCTCCCTCTCCTGGCACATCAGAGGCAGGGGGTTGAGCCGGGGGCATGGGGGTGGCCTTTCTCCCCTTCCCACGCTCCCACCAGGGCTGTCACGGCAACCTTCCACCAACCCCCCACCTTTCCAGGCCAGCCTTTGCATGGTGCCCAGGATGCTTGCTTGCTTCTGATTCACAAACCCTTCTTGTTTCTTACAATTTAATTTAAAATATTTTTATTATGCAATATTTTAAACATCCTGAAAAGCACAGAAAATAATATAACAGACACCCATGTGCCTACCACCAGATTTAGCAGATGTTAACATTTCGCCATATTTGCTTCAGCTCTCTCTCTTTTCTTTATTTTTAAAGAAAGAAAATGTTAAAGATACAACCAAAGCTTACCCCCTCCCACACCCTCTCCCTTCCTCTCCCCTCTTTCCCTACAGGCAGCTGCTCTCCGGACAGACCACACCCGGTCCCCTCTGTGTCCCCAAACACATTTCTGTGGCAGCACTCATGCTGTAAAAATGACTTATTAGCGTGGCCCTTGCTTCCCTTGAAGGTAGTAACCCCATGTCACATTCCCCTTCATGTATCTATTGTGACATGGGGCTTGCCATACAGTGAGCCCTAAAAACATTTTTGCTGGCCGGACAGATGCCTGGCCCAAATATCCGAGGCACCGAGAAAAGAATTGTCGAATGAGTAATTGTGAATATTCTGGAAATACTTACTGAGCTACAGTGACCAGGTGACCTGGTGACGCACCATCTCCTGGTTGTGTGAAGAGGTGCCGTCCTTTCCGGTTTCAGTGTGCCGTTTCTGGGTGGCACACCAGCATCCCTGCAGCCTGTGGGCTGTGAAAACCCAGTCCGTCCTGCTGGGAAGCAAAGGACCAGCTGTTCTGATTGTCCAGAAGCCTTCAGCAGCTTGTAATTTCATGGTTCTTAAAATCATGAATCAGGACTGTGGGGAAACCCAAAATCCATCACTCTACACAGCCAAGTGCTGACCGGAGCCGTCGCAGCGCTGTTCACAGCTGTAACGTACAATGCGAACATACCGTTAATTAGAAAGACTGGCGAAGTCATCTGGTCCATCCCCCGTCCTGTAGGCAAGGCCACGCCCACACGGTTTTGCCCAGAAAACCTGCCTGGTTTGTGTGGCCTTTGAAGAACTGCACCCCGGGAAAGTGCCTTTTTCCGTCAAACCTGCACCCGCTGTGCATTGGTAGAAATCTGTTTCTTCCTGGTCTGTTCAAGTTTAAATCGCTATTTAAATCAATAGTGAACACCTGTGCTGGTGCTGGGGGACCAGCTAAACTCAGTGTGGCATCTGCCCACATGGCACTCCTGCACTGGAGGAGTGTCACTGGACAGTGAACAGTGGAGGTGGTGAGCAAGGGATCTGGCCTGACCCACCTGGGGTGTGCAAGGGCTCCTTTGACAGTCTTCTGCCCCAGGCGCCTTCCAGTGCTTTCCTCATGGGGCAGCCATGGTGATCCTCGCAGGTTGTCAGTCTGGTTGTCACTTGTTGCTAGCACCTGTGTCCATCATGGACCCTCAGGAAGCAGATGCCTCCCTTAGGGTTTTAACTGAGGGTTAGTGAACAGTCCATTCACAGGTGTGCTTAGGTTAGGGGAACAAGTACAGGAAAGTGAGGCATCTGGGAACCACCAGCAGCAGGGAGCCATCACCCACCCCTTCGGCTTGAGGTTAGAGAGGATGGGAGAAGTTTCTGGAAGCTAGAGAGAGCTATGGCTCTGGGAGAGGGGGCACCAGGCAGGAGCTATCTATGGCTGTGAGTTGAAGGATCAAGGACTCAACCACAGCCGCTATCCCAGCCCAACAAGAAGGCCGTGAAGAGAAAGAAATTCTTGAACTTCTCTCTCCTGTCACCTCCTGCTGGTGCTTCCTGTTGACCAAATTCACTGGAAGCTGGAGGGCATGGGAACCCAGGTGAAGGTGATAGCCTGCAGAAACCCACCTGCCAGGGCACTGAGCAGGGCGGAGAGCAGCAGACACCAGATCTGGGGGTGCAGATCGTGACGAGCCAGCCCAGATGGTGAAATGATTGCTTGGTCTCACGATCAAGATGAAAAGCGCTAACACGCCATCAAGGCCCTGCGAGGCCTGGCCCCCAGTGACCTTTTGAGCATCCGACTCTTCACTGTCTGGGCTCAGACCACCCCAGCCTCGTCTTTCGCAGTCAGGCGTTGAACATGCAGCGCCCACTGCCTGCAGGGCCCTCCCCTCAGCTCTTCCTCTGGCTCCTACTCAGCCTCCGATCCCAGTGTAATAATCACTTCTTCAGAGAGGCCCTCCTGGGGTCTCCCTGTCCATATCAGGTCCTTCTGTTGTTCTGTCTGTACCCCATTCACTTCCTTTGTCTTTTTTTTTTTTTTAATTTTTTTTTCAACGTTTTTTATTTATTTTTGGGACAGAGAGAGACAGAGCATGAACGGGGGAGGGGCAGAGAGAGAGGGAGACACAGAATCGGAAACAGGCTCCAGGTTCCGAGCCATCAGCCCAGAGCCTGACGCGGGGCTCGAACTCCCGGACCGCGAGATCATGACCTGGCTGAAGTCGGACGCTTAACCGACTGCGCCACCCAGGCGCCCCATCCTTTGTCTTTATAAATTAATTTGTAAGTTTGTTTAGTATGCCTCTCTTCCTGGATTATAAAGCTCTGGAGGCCAGAGACTGCTGTATCCCCAGCGTCCAAGAGAGCATCCCAGAAATGCTTGTCAAATAGATGCAGGAATGTTAACACTGCCCCCCTTTGTCACGTTGGGGGAGGGTGGGGACTTGGGAGTCAGAACCCAAACAAGCCTTACACTGTGTTTGGGTTCCATGGAATATGTTTTAGTTAGGAATCTCGTTATTTAAAAATTATCCTACGGTGGGAAGAGAAGCATTAGGAAATCTCTCCTAACGCAGTACTCATAAGGTGAGGTTTTCGTGGAGGATGAATACAATGCTCTAAGAAAATCTTAGCAAGCTGACTGCTCGCTCATTTCCAGCAACTCATACTGCTTTTCATCATCGTCATGTAAACAGCATAGCTTATGGTGTCTCCACCACCCTTTAACATCTTCCAGCCAGTGTCGCGCTCCCCTGCCCCTGGGTGGTGACTCTGGGAGGAGCCGTAGCCTCTCTGCCTGACTTCCTGACTGTAGAAATCGGCTGCTCTATAGCCACTGGAGTCTCCACTCAGTTTGGTCATTGGAACAACACATCTGAGATACTCATCAAATCTCCAGATTTGACTTCTCAGCAAATTCTCCCACCTCCCAGCTCAGGGCTGCTCCTTCTCACCTCTCCTCTGTTCCATGTTGACCTGTTTCTGGCCTGTCGAGGGTTGGAGCACGAGGAGGAAATGGGAGGCAGGGAAGTGTCCCTGGGACTGTGACCACAGCTGACTGCGAATTCTCTGGGCTCCCTGTGCACCCTCCTGGTCCCCCAGGCTCCTCTTGACTACAGGCTCACCTCAGAGGCCCCTGCTGCCAGCGAGAGTGGGTGCAGAGATGATGGTGTTCGCCACCCAGCTTTCTCCAAAGATGTTTCTTCCAGCAGCTCCCTCTGTAGTTTGCGTAGGGGGTAAGAAGGTTCATTGGTTTGGCAGAACAGGTTTTAGATTATTTCCTTTTTACTTTCTCATCCATTCGCTATTTCATTTCTGTCACCACGGCACCTCGGTTGAAACTGAAGTAGGAAGGGTGCCTTCTAACCTCTCATTACAATGAATTTTCAAAATAACCCACGTAGAGAAGATTTACAAAGTATGTTAAACAATGTCACACAAATGTTTGAAAGAAGTAAATCACATAAATGTCCTGTATCAGTCAGATGTTCTGATAATAATGCTGCTTAACAAACCACCCGAAAACTCAAGTGGCTCACAGACATTAACAGGTCTCTCTGGCCCACACATCCACAGGTCTGACTGGCCTTGGCTCCCGGCCACGGATTGGGTCCAGGTCTGCTACAGGTGTCCCTCATCCGTCTGGGGCCCCCATGGGGCATGTTTAGCTCCCGGAGAAGGCAGGAGCGCAGGAGGCATGCCTTGCTTGAAAACCATTGGCTAAATCAAGTTACCCAGGATCAGGAGGGTGGGGACGTACCTCCCCTCAAAGGTGGAGAGGGAGGAGTGAGTGTTTGCCAAACTGTAACCTACCACACAGTTTATATGTATGTAAGATGAGAATAACCGAAATGGAACAGCCGTAGGAGAATTCTTCTTTGAACAGCAGTGGATGTTCTAACAGCAGTGGATGTTCTAGGAAGTAAAAAAATGCGTATACACGCCCTAAGGCTGTCGAAAGTTTCCAGTCTAGCCAGCAACTTACTAGACGTAACTATTTCCATTCCTACAAAGCACACTCCTGTGTCTGATTGCATGTTTTCTTTCTGAAGGGAATCTCAAGTGCCTTTCTTTCTACCATCTATTTCTCCTTCCTCAGTATGGCTGTGACCCGATCCAAAGATGCTCCTGCTTTTGGTCCCCCCATCCCCAGTGGAACCACATTCCGCAAGTCTGATGTCTTCAGAGACTTCTTGCTGGCCAAGGTGATTAATGCCGAGAACGCTGCACACAAGTCTGACAAATTCCACACCATGGCCACCAGGACCCGCCAGGAGTACCTCAAGGACCTGGCTGAAAACTGTGTCTCTAACACACCCATTGACTCCACTGGCAAATTTAACCTCATCTCCCTGACCTCCAAGAAGAAGGAAAAGACAAAAGCACGGGCAGGCGCTGAGCAGCACAGCGCAGGCGCCATCGCCTGGAGGGTGGCGGCCCAGGACTATGCCCAGGGGGTAGAAATTGACTGCATTTTGGGGATTTCCAATGAGTTTGTGGTGCTCCTGGACCTTCGCACCAAGGAGGTGGTGTTCAACTGCTACTGTGGGGATGTCATCGGCTGGACCCCAGACTCCTCCACTCTCAAAATCTTCTATGGGCGAGGGGACCACATCTTCGTGCAGTCCACGGAAGGCTCTGTGGACGACATAAGGGAAATCGTCCAGAGACTGAAGGTAAGGGAGAGAGCTCGGCAGTGGTACGGCACTTCTGTGGTTTGGCCCAGGCCTTAGGGAACCACCCCACCCCCCACCCCCACCCCCACCCCAGCCCAGTCAGTCAGGCCAGGACACTAACTGGCCCCAAGAGAACCAGAATTGCCACTTACACACTAGGGGGGCTTGTGGGCCCTGCACCCTGGGTTCTTTTCTAGGGAAGGTTCGGGCCAGGGATCCAAGGCTCTCCATTGTCATCACCTTGGGAAGACAGAGATGTATTTATTCACTCTAGAAGTTGATAGGAGATATAAGTTTATGCTTACATTCAAAATGTAAGGGTACTTTGGGGAAGAATTAAACTAGAATGAAAAGCTTCCAGGCCACTAAAGGATAGGGCATAAGCAGGGACCTGGGGAGAACATGAGAAAAGCACAGTACAAGAAACAAACAAACAGAAAATTATATAGCGGGAATAAGTCCACATCAGTAATCACGATAAACCTGAGTGGCTTAACTTCCTCTGTTAAAAGACGAAGGTTCACAGTCTGGGTGAATTCTTACCCTAAACTCCTGGTAGACCTCTCCGACTCAGACTGGTGGTCAAAGCAAGAGTGACAGATTTCAAGTCGGGTGACAGCTAGGTTGGTGAAGGCTTGAAGCACTGTGGTGAGAAGTACTCAGGCCACATCTGAGCTCTGTGAAAGGGAACGCTGTAGTCAGCAATGGGCTCTTGGTGGGTTTAACAGGAGGGCGGGTCGTGCATGTGAGATAGGGAAGGGTGCGTAACATGGGACCCGGGTTCTAGAGTCAGAAGGCCTGGCTTCAAGTCCTGGCACTGCCACTGGCCAGCCGTGCGACCTTGAGCCAAGTTCTTAACTGCTGTGTGACTCAGTTTCCCCATCTGAAAAATGGGAACAAAAATTACCATACGTCACGTGGAAGTTTTAAGGATTGGATGAGTTATGTTGCCCAGACAAGCTTGCCTGACTTGGTGGGCTGTGACCTCCAGATCCCACCATGTTCACCCTTCTGGGCCTTTGCACTGTCTCATTAAATTCAGGTTGGATTGATAAGGCCCTGCCCTCAGCTTTCCTCGCCCAAAATTCATGCTTAGCTTTAGGTAACAACATTAGTTTTTGGTAGCAACACGGATGTGGGGTCGGAGAACCAGGGCCTCCATCTGTTTTATTCACTTGCGTATGTCCCATGCCTCCATCAGGACTGCCTGGCACGTAGTAGGTGTTCAGTAAATACTAATTGGTTGGCTAGTTGAATGAGTTTAATTGAACCCTGAGTCTGTGCTAATAAGCATTTTACATGCGTGACCTCACAGTCTTTCACCACCCCATGGAGTGTAGGTACTGTTCGTATCTCCACTTGACAAGATGAGGAAATTGAGGCTCAGAGAGGTATAGATACTCACATAAGGTCATGCAGCCAGCAGATGGCAGACTGGGATCTGAATCCAGGTTTTCCTGACTCCAGAACCTATCTGTGTCCAAACTCGAGACTGGTAGCTTATCGGCATCTCCGCCCAGGTGTCTCTAAGCCCCTGAAACATGTCCAAGAGCAAACTCCTGGTTTTCCTCCCCTGCCCCCCAGAATTTTCCTGTTAACATAAAGGGCAAGTCCGTTGCTCCATTTGTCGAAGTCAAAAGCCTTGGCATCAGCCTTGCTGTTCTCTTCCTCTCACACCCACATCCCGTCTGGCTCCGGTGGGCAGTCTCCAGCCACCCCTCCCCTTCCACAGCCTACCCCAGCTTCTCCTGGACTCTGCAGTCACCTCCTCCCTGTCTCCCTCGCCTCCACCCTTGCTTCCCTATGTTCTGTCCTCAGTAAGGCAGTCCCAAGGGGTCTGGTCCCATCACTGCTATGCTCAGAACCGTCTGCCCACCCTAGGTGAAAGCCAGAGTCCTTGCAGTAGCCTGTGAGACCCCACGTGATCTGGCATCCTGTCGCTCTCTCTGCCCTGGATACACAGACCTTTGCTGCTTCCCGAGTGTGCTAGGCAGGCAACCAGCCTTTCCACTGCCCGCACTCTCTCGCTGGAGCCCTTTAGTCACGTGTCATCTTATCAGGGAGGCCTCATATGTAAAATCGCAACCCCCCACCCCGACTGAGCATATTCCACCCACTTACCCTGCTTTAATTTCCTCCATGGCACTTACCACCACACAAAGTGTATTTGTGTATTTGTTGTTCATTGCACTGTCCTTAGCACTCAAGCCCGTATGCAGAAGACGCTCAGTGAACTTGTACTGAACGCATGGATGCATCACTACCCTATATTAATAGCAAGAGCAAACATTTGTGGAGGGCTGTCTGACCCTGCTCAGTGCCTTGCACGACTTGGCATTTTCTCCTCACAAAAACCCGGTGAGGGAGATACCATTATCATCCCCACTTCACAGATGAGGAATCTGGAACCCAGAGAGAGTTAAGTACCTGGGTTCTTTAACACGAGAGGATTCTTCCTCCCCAAATCCTGACAGCAGCTCACGTTTCTTGTGCAGTGACCGTGCCAGGCACCGCGCCAGGTTACACATTTTACCCACATCCTCTCTGTGCCACTCCGTCCCACACCCACCCCCGAGCCTACTGTTGGCGCAGTGTTTTGCAGCCCGTTACCGCAGCCCTCCTCACAATCTCAGTGCCCCAAAGCCCACTGAGGAACCAGGTGGCCAGGAAGTGATGACGTAAGCCATCTTCTGCGAAGGGACAAGCCCATCTTAAATGACTCATGATGGCAAATCTGTCTGCTGCGCAGAGCCCTCCAGGGCAAGGAGTCCCTGCCCTCCCCAGCAGAACCAGGAGTCAGACATCCTTCGTTTGTTAAGTTATGCCCCTGTCTCTGAGCCGGACAGTGCTGGGACACAGTAGTGACCGTGATGGGCCGTGGCCGCCCTCCCGGGACTCCCATCTGAGGCAGATACCGAACAAGGAGTTACAAGTGCCGAGAGGTTAAAGAGGAAGTATTGAGGATGCCAGGGAACCTATCGTGGGGAGAGGTCTCAAGCCCACAGGTTGGATGTAGCCCCCAGACATACTCAGTTGGTTACCAAAGCTTAGCATTCGGAAGACTTCATAGAAGTGTGTCTTTCCGGGGGATCTGGCTGTGCTGGACGTGCATTTGCACAGGTCAGCCGAAGCAAGGCCATAAGTGCCCGCTTCAGATGGGGCGCAAGTGCAGCATTTAGCCACATTCCACCAACTTGCGTCTCATGTACACTGCCCACCGAGTACCCCAGCTTGTGAGCCTGGGATGGGGTGCTCCCTGAGGAAATAACTTTTAAACCGAGATCAGAACAAGAAGTAGGAATCGTCCTGGTGAAGAATGAGGGGGAAATAAAAAAAGGGGGCAGCGGGGAATACAGCGTGGAAGGTAAAAGCAAGAGTTTAAAAGTCAGGTCTGTACAGGTCTTCACATCTGAAAGATAAGCAAAGCAGTTGTACCTGCTTCACAAGTGAGATAATGGTGAAATTGGGCATATGAAGGGCTTAATCAGTGCCTGGCACACACAGGTCAGTCCCCAGGAAGATGAACTTTAAAAAGGCAGGGTTGGCCTGGCAGAGGGTCCTCTGAACAGGTATGTGTTTGGTCTCGTAAGGTGTTCCCTGTGCCATGGGGCCTTTCTAGAATCTTGTAAACGTCAGGAATGCTTCTGTTCTTCAGGTGGGGCTTCCTTTGGTTTGTTAGAAAAGCAAAGGGGACAGGGGCGCCTGGGTGGCGCAGTCGGTTAAGCATCCGACTTCAGCCAGGTCACGATCTCGCGGTCCGTGAGTTCGAGCCCCGCGTCGGGCTCTGGGCTGATGGCTCGGAGCCTGGAGCCTGTTTCCGATTCTGTGTCTCCCTCTCTCTCTGCCCCTCCCCCATTCATGCTCTGTCTCTCTGTCCCAAAAATAAATAAAAACGTTGAAAAAAAATTTA